GCTTCACACTCACCCTTCTCTGTCCCAGCCTCGGGAACACACTCTGGCACCAAACCTCCCCCGCAGCGCCCCTTCACTCATCCCTTCGTGCCCGCCTTCCAGCTCTTTCCTGGGCCCAGCTGATGGTCGACGCAACCGACCCTCCCCACCCTCGGTCCACGCAAACCCCCCTCCCCCAAAAGGCGCGCAACTATGTGCTCGAGCTGTCAATGGACCGGAGGGTGGAGCAGCAGCTGGGCAGCCACCCCTGCGACGCGTGCGGCGCGGACACCTACGAGGCTAACCTCTCCTGCCACGCGTGCGGCCACGGGTGAGGCGGCGTGTTGTTCCGAGGACTGTGGGCACAGGCGCGCGCGGCGGAGCGCGCCTTTGCGGTGGTTGGGGACGCACGGGTCCTCGTTGGCGGGGCCGGGGATGAGGGGTGATGTACGACCGCCTGCAGCCTCCAAAGGCCACTCAGAGGCACGCTGTGTTGTGTGCGTGTGAGTTGCACGCTGGCGTGCCGTGATCACGGGCGACCACCAGCATACCCTGACAGAAAATCGCGCAACCGCCGCAGGTGGGAGGCGTGCGCTGTCAGCGGCTACCCCGTGCACCCATCAGAGCGCGTCGCGCCCAAGGGCGGGCTGGCGGCGCGCCGCGACGACTGGAACGCCTGGGTCGGGGCGTTTGGGACCGACCCCGTGACCGGCCTGGCGGCCACCCCTTTGTACTGACGGCGTCCGTGCATCAGATACACTCATGCAATGTGACAGGATTACTACATGGACCTCTGGTGGTGCTGTGAACGCACACGCGCTGTTTTGATTACTTTTGCGCCAAAAGGCAATGGTTTGTTTCGGCGCCGCCAGGCTCCCACAAATGGCAATGTATACTCAAACCTATTCACCAATCCCTTAACTCAGCAAGAGTAGTAATGAAGGGTGATTCTCAAATGAAGTGACCAGCAATTTATACAATATTACAGAACCCTGCAAGCTTACACATGTCAAGGCAGCTGTGCGGTGGCAGCCCTGACTGTCGCATTGCACTCGTGCGCTGCAGCAATCAGAAGCTTCAGCCGCGCCACCAACGGCTGCTGCAGCTGCCTGCCGTCGGCCGCCATGCCCACAGCGCCAGACAGCAGAGCGTGGCGTAAGCAGCTCCCCAGCCAGCCACGCCTTCTACCCATGTGCCGTGCCGCTGCCCCTTCAGACCCCCCGCTGCCGGTACCGCGCCCCGTGGCGCCGGCCGCGCCCAGTCCCGCCGCCATGGGCGCAGTGGCTGCGACTGCAGCCGCACCGGCCATCGTCTGCGCCGTCTCTGCCTGTAGCAGCTGCAAGGCAGCTTCCGACAGGCTTTCGAGGGCGTCCGAGGCCTGGCCCAGAATCACCCCTGCCAGCATCCGCCGCTCGGGAGGCAGCAAAGCAAGGCTGTGGGGCCCGATATCAGCTGTATCACCGCTGGCCTGCGGCTGCTGCTGCTGCTGCGGCGGCGGCGGCGGCGGCTGCTGCTGCTGCGGCCGCTGCTCTGGGTCTAGGTGGCATGCACGCTCCTCAAAAGTCCCACAAATGCCAGGGAGGCTCTCCAGGTGATTGGCCGCCAGCTCGCTGGAAGCTGCAGAGGCATGAACGCACGAAGAAAGCAGCTGTGCGCCTGACCCCGCCAGCTGCACCGCAGGGTGGCCGAGCAGGGCGACTGGCAGGTCCACTCCCGCCAGCCACCACGGCCACACGCCGCTGCTTGCCGTGCTGGCGGCCCGCCAGGCGGCCAGTAGCTTGTTGGCAGCCGCGGCCGCGGCCAGCGCCGGCACTGGCCCCGTCGTGCGCTCTGAGGCTGCCGGGGGCGTGTTCTCCTGATCATCTGGCTGCTGCTGCGATCGGAGGTGGCAGTCCTGCTTGTGCTGATGTTGCTGCTGCTGCTGCTGCTCCTGCTGCATCTGCTGCTGCTGCTGTTGCTGCTCCTGTTGGCGTTTCCGCTGCTGCTGGATGGTGCCCTTGCTGGCAAGCTCTGACGAGGCGCACATGAGCAGTTGTTCGCGCAGTGCAGTCTGCCTGCGTTGCGAAAAGGTGAGTGGATTTCATCCAGAAAGCACGAATCTCACATCAGCAGGGTTTGCTGGAGACATTTCTGGCCAGGCACACCTGCGTTTTCCATGCGATAGCACAGCGCCACTCAACACCACGACCCGAACGAAGGCTGATACAACGCGCACCTGCCGGGGTCAGCTGGCGCGACGATCCAGGCCAGCAGGTCAGCTGCACTCGAGGCATCCCTGAGCGCGTCATCGCGCAGGGCTGCACGTGGCGCCGGCTGCCGCTGTTGCTCACGCGTGGGCCCTGCTGGCTGGCTCGGCGCGAGCCGGTATGACTGCTGCGCCGCAGCCGCCGCAGCCGGTGAGGCTGTGAGCAGCCGCATGCTGCTGTACGCGAGCAGCCATGCTGCGTACTCGTACCAGCTGCGGTGCTGCATCACAAGCCGCCATGCCGCCAGCACTGCCTCAGCCGCCTCTGCGTGATCCGCGCCCTCCTCTTCAACCCAACCGAGCGACCACTCCGCCTCGGACGGCCAGCCGCCACCGTCGCCGCCACCGCTGACACCACAGCCGCCGACTGCGCCCGCGTGTGCACCCTGTATTAACGAGGGGCGGCCGCTCGCACGGCCTCCACCAGCCCCAACACAGTCCAGCCCGTCGCCGCTACCGTCCCCGCCGCCGCTGGCCTCGCCACTGCCGCCGCCACTGCCGCCGCGGCTGTCGACGCCGCTGTGGCGGCAGCGCCCAGGAAGCGCCGCCAGCAGTTGCCTCAGAGCAGCCCTGGTTGGCGTCTGCGCCAGGAGGCGCGCCAAATCCAAGGGCGCGCCGCCGCAATAGCACAGAGCCACGCACCCAGGCGGGAGCGTCCCTGCAACTCTACTGCTGCTGCTGCCGGCACCCGTGCGTGCGGACGCCTGCTGCGCAGGACCTGCCTGCGTTGGCTGGTCTTGTGGCTGCGCTGCGCCCGCCTCGCCTGCGCCGAGCGAGGCTAGCGGTGCTTGCAGCAGCAGGATCTGCCACACGGGAGAGCAGGTCCTGCTCAACAGCTGCCACAGGCGCGGGTGCCCGCTCAGCTGCCACCAGTTTAAAAGCGAGTCCAGCACCTGAGAGTATGAGCAGGCATTCTGGGCTTGCGCAACAGTGGGCGCTTTCACGCATGCGCCGAGGAGAGACGCGTACGCACCGCAGTCAGGCGTTTAGCAGCCGTGGCCGCGGCGTTACCACAGCACCGCTGCCACCCTCACCCTGCAGAAGATTGCCGGCTGGCTGGCGAGCACTTGAGGCAGGCGCGGCCACACTGGGTGACCAGCAAGTGCCTCCGAAATTGAGGCAGCGCGGCTACTGCCGCCTCGACCACCACTGCTGGTGCCGCCGCTGCTGCCATTGTGTCCGCCGCTGCAGCAATCACGCGCCACGGCGTCTAGCAGGCGGTCGATCAGGGCGGGCTGCAGCAGCAGCGCCGACGCCATGGCCTCGACCGGCAGCGCTCCTGATGGAGGAGCGCAGGGCGCCGCGTCAGTATTGTAGAATATGGTGTTTGCAAGCGATGCGGTCAACATGATTGATGATGGCATTCAACAGAGTGTGCATCATACAGATTGACTGGTCGATGCATGTGCTGCTATAGCAATAGCACGAGGGACTTCTCACCAATATCCCTCAATACGAGCGCTTCAAGCGCCGCCACCGCGGGAGCATTCGCAACGCCCTGTCTGCTCTGTCGCTGCCGCTGTGGCTGACGCTGTGGTTCACCACAGCTGATGGATTCTCCCTCTGCTGCAAGCTGCAGCATACGGCTGGCGATCACCCTGCGCACGGTGCTCGGGCTGCCGGGCACGATGGGCAAGTCGCCGCCCAGCGCATGGCACGCGTGAAGCAGTGCAGACTCCACCTGCGAGGGCCGTGTCGCGGTCAGCGCGCCAGGATGCTGCTCTACTGGCCTGGAAAACAGCAAGTGGCTAGCGGCCAATGGCAGGGGAACCATAGTGCACAGAGCCGTGGTTCAGCGCCCGCAACGCACTGCTTGAAATGTAGCGTGTGCTTCGATCGCGCCGCAAGAGGCAGGCCCCGGCAGCTGCAGCCCAGGTGCTGGCAGCTGCTTTGCAGCAGATATGCCGCGGCACAGACGCGCCAGGTCCGCATCTAGCGACACGTCGCCTTCGCCTGCTGGTGAATGCGGCTGTGAGCAAACAGCACGGCGCAACTGCAGGCAGCAATGTGCATGCATTCACATGCAGCAGCATGCGTTGGTCTTAGGAGGTGATAAAATCGGTGGTCCTGCCTTTCAGGAAGGTTGATGCCGCTAGCCGGTCCAGCACGGTGCCCTTGGTCGCCACCGTCAGCATTTTTGCAAAATCGCGCCTAGATCACTGGTGTCATAGCATCCCGCTACAATGCCAGTGTGAAGCCGTCAATAACTGCATTGTCCTTGAATAGCAACATACGGTATCGCAGTTGAGTGAATTTGAGTCACTGCCCCACGGTGGCACGGCGTGGCTCCATTATAAAACTCAATACCGTATGTCCCTTAATATAAGGAGGTTCACAATTTCAGACATTTGGGGTCAGGCTTATGCACGTTTTATTAATGTAAGACGCTTTTGTGACCTAGGCTGTGCCCTGTGTCATCACAACGCATAAGGCGGTCCGGCTGTGCTTGCCTGGCTGAGTGCTAAATCATGCCGCAGACGCGCCCACAACATGGTATGCAGATACTCGACTAAGAAATGGATGATAAATTAGATCACAGAAACTCATACGTGGCTCACCCGCCGCTGCTGACACCAGAGCAGCTGCACGCCCGCCGCGGCTGTGCGCTGCGCGCGGCTGCTCACTAACGCCGGCCTCCTGGCTGTAATGTTGGATATTGGGATGTCGAGCGCCGCGTCCATCCACGTACCCCTGCTTGTTGTCTGAGTTGCTCTTGAAGATAGCCTCAAGCACATGGTGACATGGATCTTGCTGATGACACTGATCCTCCCCTCGTCGCCGTCGCTGGCGCCAATGCGGCCCTCCTCGGTGCCGCTGCCCTCCTCTGCCGAAACATGTTTTTAGATCATAATTATAGCATTATTTGCCCTCATTGGCCCTCATTTGCTCTTGTTCGGGACCTACCCAGCAGCTGCTCCCGTGCTGCATTTATAAGACGGATTTTTCGCCTAAGCTATTAAATCCCGCAATATAAGAACTTTCGCCTATTGCGGTCGTCTTACTATTAAGGGACATACGGTAAGTGTCTTCAGTACACCGATCAGTGCCAAAATCACAGGCAGGCCCCTTGTTGCCCGTAGGAAGCCACAATAACGCAAGTCGTGTTCAAGGCAGCAGCTTCGGGCGGTGTAGCATGCGTTGGGCGACGCTCTTGAGCCACTGCCACCTGCTTTGGCGCCGCTTGCCATGGCCCTGCTCGCTGATCCCGCCTCCTGACCCCGGCGTTTGAGCAGCGTTTTGCGGTTGCCTGAACGGATCGGCATAGGGAGCCGTGGACTGCCAAAGGGCCACTCTTGAGGTGGGTGGCCACAGCCGCAGCCACGGCAAAGGTTGTCCTCTTTCCTTACCCCTCGCATCCAGCTTGCCACAGTTTGGCTTGTGCGACGACAGCTTCAAGGAGAAACCACCTGCGTGCAAGAGCAGAAAGAAGCTGCGAGCATTATAGCCATAATGCGAGCGGCGCACGACAAGTTGCCCCTGCCAGGGGAGTGCCTGAGCGAGCCGGGGGCAGCGCGGCACTTGCCTGGCGCCACAGATGGGTGCCTCAGATACACCATGAACGTAACACGGCATAATTTAGGCCTTATAACGAAAACTAACCCCTGACAGTGCCCTTTTCGGTGTGCGCGGCGTGGCTACAGCCATGTTGCCGGATTGCCGTATCACTCCACCCACCACACTCGCGAATTTTGATGTGCCACGATCCAACATATAAGACTGCGTATTTCAGTATTCAACCCAGATTTGCAGCGTAAAACCAAAGATCCAAGCTGCCCCGCGGATTGCTCGTCCCGCAAGACGGTTCACTGAAGCGGCTGCCATGGGTTTTCAGGCCGCCCTGGCCTCCACGCTGCTTTATGGGAGTCTGCAGCAGCGGGGCCTTCTAAGCATTACAGACCTGACGCGCGCGCCAGCGTGGTCCCTGTCCAACGCCAATGGCAGTGTGTCAGTTGGCGGCGCATCCCTGCCGGCATACGTGCTGGAGGTCCTTGAGAAGCAAAAGCTGATCCCTGACCCCCTGCAAAGGTGACACCCGATCACCTGTTGCGACGGCGCAGCCAAAGCAGCGCGGGCCGCTTTGCCATCACCAACCAACCACAATCGGTCAACCTTGCTGCCGCGCACGGTCGCCTTCGATCAGATCCCAACTCCCTGTATACTTCCAGGTTCAACGAGCGGAAGCTGGACTGGGTCCGAGATGACACATGGACCTTCACTCGCCGCTTTACGCTCGCATCCCCCTGGGCGGGCGGCGAGCTGGTCCTGGCCGGCGTCGACACAGTTGCTGACGTCAC